TGAAAACAGCTGGGAAAAACAAAAAACGACCACGGGTAAAAAAAAATAATAATTAAACGCCAATTGTAAAACCAATACATTCCATAGCTCAGAATCTAAAATGTGCGCGAATCACGACAAAATAGATACGATCACAGATTGATGACCGTGGTTTTCCGCTCCTTATTGGCCCGGCACAGGAGGCATGCGCACACTGAACAAAAACGTGACGAAGCACTGCGATTTTTCGATTTTTCGCGTCGTTTTCTGAATAATTGTGCGAAACCGGAAAACCCGTAGAAAGAACGGGACAATTTACGGAAATAACGGTTTAATTATTTTCGATTAGGTTTTTTTGTCGTTTCAATTCTGTTAAAAAGAGTCGTAATTCTAACAGAATACTTGCGTTAGCCTTTTAAGTGGTAAAATAATGAGCTATTTATAGGTATTTTACATTTTGAGTGTTTAAGTTTTTATTCGATAGATATTATTATCTAGGTTTAAACGTTCGACCCGTCTAGAAATACGACTAATAATGCACTACTCAGAACCGTTTTTCATTAGCAATAGTTTATCGTTGCACGCGTACGGGTATAGGAACTAAATCACCGTACGTAATAATATTTCTTCTCAATTTCGCGCGTACAACAGTAGGCCGTGGACGAAGTACGTCCAGATTTTTTTTTATTTCTAAACGCTTTGTTATCTTCAGGCTTTTAAAATCGATGGTCACCTACGCTGTGAACTTTAATTCAAAAATCGAATATTGAACTGAGGTATAATAATCAAATCCTCGGAAAAAGAAATAACACTATAATGCCGGAATAGGGTATTCACAGCGAACAAATACAATTTGTTTTTTTATTCTTGTGAGAACTCGACGGTACAAACTACATAAAATTATAACGCGTCAAGCGACTGCGCAGCACAAATTATGTAAATTGTTGTTTTCGCCCTTTTTGCATATTATGCCAGAAACCACCGAGCAGTGTGATAACCGTCAACGTATAGGTGCAAAATTGGATACATAGCTGCGAATAAATTTTAGCCGCGAAACTAATAATATTCGATCGATTAATTTTCCCCTATATTGTATGCTATCGGGACGTCCTTTGATCTTTTAATTTAAAACCGCCGTTTACCTTACAGAACGCGACGGACCACGCGAATCGTTTCGCGGTTGCAAATACTCAGCGGCGTCAATAACGTTCGGGCACAACCAAAAACGATTTATTGGAAATTTCAGGATTTAAAGACGGCATTATGTGGAACGTGTTAGAACAATAAATGATACTGTGATAGTTACGTCGCCGTGGCGGGTGAACAAGAGGTAGCTGGTATATTAGTTTTTTTTTTTCTTCATATTATCCGAATTATAAACATAAAAACATAACGTTTTATACAATAATCGACGAAAATCACCTTGTTTGTGTGCCCGTTTATTTGGTTAACCCCCTCCCTGAAAACTTAAGTTCTCGTCAAGCGAATACTAAATGTATTGATACAATCAATATTACGGGGCGTAATCCCTCTCCGAAAAAAAAATAATAATATTCGGTCTGTTTGCGCGTATAACAATAACCATCAATAAACCGATGTTTATCCAACGTAATATTATTTTGTTTCTGTTTTCAAACGAAAGCATCGAGAATCGAGTGTTGTGTTTGACACGAGTATACAAGGCGATTTATCGAGCACGCTCGCCCCATTTTCAGGGGTAAATGATGTACACGTGCGAATTGTGTTTTTGAGAATTTTTAATTGTAGAGCGTGCCGTTGGCGACGCCGACTTTAGTTTTTCAAATGCGAACGTACATGTTGAAAATCGCGTGAGCTGGCGGAGCGTTAGTTCGAATGGAGCAAAATCGCTCGAAAACATCGGCGTCAGCACTGTACGCGCTTGAAAACGCCGGGACGTTTAGAATTTGAACGTACGCGCGACGTTGAACCGTAAAAAAACGCGCTTACCGAATCGCCCCGTACACGTCATCGGAACGGCAACGAGCGCGGTCGAGTGTCGCATTCCGAACGTCCGCCGGTAATGCCCCCGCGTGTCGGCTGATAAGAATATCGCGCGCGTAAAAAACGCGTTTATTTTTGAATGAGGACGACAATAATTGGTTAATTTTTGTTTTTCGTCCCGACGTTAACGCAACGCGCGAACGTTGCCGAATCCACGGGCACAGGTGTTTCGCGGGCTCGACTCCGCCGCGACTTCTCTCGCGCGACGGAAGAGTTGGGTAAGGTTAGGATCTTCTGCAACGCCGTCGTCGCGAGCGCGGCGGCGTCGACCGTGGGCCGCCGCCGTCCCGGAGACCAGACGTCCGTCCGACCTTCGGGTCGGGATGCTCTTTTTATCGTTATTATTATTATTATTTTTTTTTCCCCGACCGCCGCCGCCGCGTCTTTTTACGACGGGCCAAACTGAAATAAAACCGCGTCCGAGGCGGCGGGATACAATAATAATAATAATATCTTGTTTGTAGCGTGTTTCCCCCCCCTCACCACAGACGAAAAAAAATAGCACACGGGTACGCGAACATAATATATGTACGACACACGGACGCGGCCGTTTTGTACGTAGGTACAGATAGGTACGCTCGCGCGTAATATGTAATTTTTTTATAACGTCTCGACGCGTAGGTACGCGCGCGTGGATAATGAAAAAAAAAAAAAAATTATAAAATGTTGCAGCATTAGTAAGTATTAATTAGCATAAGTGATATCATTATTATCGTTATGAGAATATATTAGTGTTGATAGTTTTTAAAAATGAGTAGTTTTTTTTTTTCAACTATTTATATGTAAAATTAATTACGATTGTTGCCGATGGTTGGAAAATCGGAAGCGATCAATGTATAGTGTAGTTTAATTTATGTCTGTACCCGGCGGTAAACCATTACTAACGAAAAATCGGTGGTTCTCACCGACTAGATTAAAAATTCCACAAGAAAGTTCCTACTTAGATTTTGATTGGTTAGTGATTTCTGGTAGAAAAACCGTTTAAAAACAAAAAAGTAATTAAATTAAAAAAAAAAAAAAAAAACGTACACACACGCATCGAATAGTGAAACCGACGCGTTTATCGCTTCGCTCAGAATATACAGCAAACGGTATCCGTATGAACACAAATATTATTATTTTGGATAGTTACTGATACGCATATAATACCTATCTACATCGTTTTGATATTATTGAATTGTTTTAATGTTTTTGACGTAGACTTTATTGCATAAATTGGATACATTTCGGTTATAGCGTATATGTACAATGCTATTATAATGCGCGGTATAGGTAACTCTAACAACGAATTATTTTTGTTGGAGGGGATAACTGTTATTATTATTTATATACTTACCCCCTGGGTATAATATCATACGTTTGTATATTATTATTTATAATTTGCTCTAAAATATTATCATCTGCCGAATATCGGAGCGGACTAAAACCCACGCAACAATATTTTATATAAATTACAAAAGTAAACAGATTATAATATCCGATAGGTATACTTTCGGTTGAATAAATTATACGCAATGTTACCGCGCGTGTCTGCGTACGAAATGATTTCATTTCGCAATGTTACCGAGCGCAACACCGATGATTTTAAACAAATAATAGACGATTTTCTGGAAGCTTAAAAACGTTAACGTCAATCTTGTACATACAGTTGAATTTCTGTCTGTCTGTCCGTTACACAAATCTGCACTTTTAATCGCCGTTATAGGTTTGCACGCTCGACACTAAAAACAAGAGGAAAGCCGCTGTCTGCTTTTCATCTCGAAATTAATGGACTACAGCACTTAAACACGCACACAAAGACATGGAAATGGATATTGATGAAATAATTAATGTACTTGCGAGAGAATCGCTGAGAAGATTAGATTTTACCTTATAAATTATTAAATCATAAACTAAATTATAGTTACCCGTATTAGTATGTTTATGTAAAGTTATTAATATTACTACAAAAATGTAATTTTTTTTTTTTTTTATTGTTCTGTACGAGACCGTGACAAGTAACAATAAGTATGTACCTGTAAATGTTCTAAACAAATATTTTAAAAAGGACTATATCAAAATTAATGTTTTTAATTTTATCTATATCATGTGTGTCATTTAAAAATCGACCCCCCTCCCCGTTATCTCGGCCTGGATCTGCCCCTGCACTAAATTACGACCGACACTGGGCTATTTTTTTTCGTATTATTGGAACGTAAAGCGAATATACGTATATATTTTTTAATGCCATGTGTTATATTGGTGATTGAACGGATACGGACGAAAAAACCGCGACCGTCATTCGACTCGATTGCCACTCGGGCGACGACAACGAGCTGCTATAGGCGGAAACACGTTTAATAGACAGACTGCCATTTTTACAAATATCCGACGTATCGCATTATTTTTTTTTTTTTTTTTCAAATATCGGGAAATTTTGCCGGTTTTGTATTTCGAAATACGATATTGATGAGAAAAGAAAAAAAAAAAAAAATGTGTACGATCATTTATTTGGTCGAGTGTTGACGTGGGTAGGTATGCACAATATAACATGTATGATGTACCCAATAGGTAATCAACTCGCAGACGCTTATAACAATACGAAATAATTTTGAATGACCCCTATAACAATGTTATTGTTGTTGGCGAATTTTGTTTTCGTACGTTTATCAATTATTCTTGATTATACCGTACGGCACTATACGGCACGATTCGATTATGCCTACATAGAATCGGTTGTTATTGTCGAACATACTGACCGAATACAATTAATGTTACAAATAATATTTAACTCGTAGGTTCGTTGTTCGTACTTAAAATAATATTATCAATTATAACGAAATAATTCACTATCAAACTATAATATTATTATTAATTGTATACGTATACACTAATAATAATAATTGTCCTCCGCTAAATTTCGTCCGACAATAATATTTTGGTTTTTGTACGCATATATATTTATAGGATGTCGCACTTGTTAAGTTTAAAACCAAATTATTATGACGTATACGTTTCGCCGTTCGAACTCGCATCCCTCGAATGTATTTTACACGTTAAACATGTATTATACAGATGTCCGCGATCGTTTGGTTTTTCTGTCGCGGCGACTGTACGCGGTAAGTTTACCGTTGGGTAATAGTGTGATTTATCGTAAGTACGCGACGTTCTGCGCGAAACGCATACAACGATGTTTTTTAATAACTCGACGGATATAATATTCTTTTTTTTCAGTAATATTTCGTACAACCGCACGCCCACGGTTTTGTGATATTATTAATAGTACGATAACCGATGAACCATACGAATATTACATCCGATAAATCGTATAAAATTTATGGTATTAAAACCAGTTTGAACGAAATTTGATTTTTTTTTTTCGATAATACAATGATTTTATAAATACATGTTCGGCTATCTACTTGTTTATTAACAGAGAACGTTTTATTCGTCTCAATGAAAAACGTTTTCGCGGACATGTTTATCATTGAATTAACAGAAAGGTCGATTAGGTATGCGCGATTCGAAACGCTTCTATTAGAGAATATTTCAACTGGTATAAACAAAAACAATAGTTTTAAAAATAATTACAAGTATCTACTTTTAGCCAATGTTTAGTAACGAATTAGGTACTCATTTTAGATTCTTGGCGAATAACCTAGGCGTTTTCTACACATTGTGTAGACTTTTTGTGTGTCTGTACACAAGAACTTTCCTCCCAGTAATCTTGTTCCAATCGAGAATATGATAGAAACTTTCTCGTGTCATTTCTGATCTAATCGGTACACTGTGGAGGTAGTTTTTTTGATTTCCTTGTAGTGTTCCTAATACACGGAAAAAACCGATGATTTTTTTTTTTTGTATAATTTTTGTTGATTTCTTGGTAACCGACCTTTATCGTGTATACTCATGCTCGGAATCGTTTTTAGATAACAATGATTTATAGCCGCGTACAGACATGAATTAAACAACTCTAATGTATCCTACCGTCCGAAATTCCCACCTCGAATGGAGGCACAACTACCACCGACGTTATAAGCCTATTTTTATTTTCTACGCAACAATATGTTTTAAATAATATTCTAAAAAAAAAAAAAAAAACAACGCGGTGGCTAATATCGGCTATAATAACTCCGATAATTTACTGCACGTCTCTTGTTACGCGCCGTATAAAGTAAACGCGTTTTTAAAAACAAAAGTAACTCTTACATTATTCACTATATACGCATGTATTATTATAACGTATAAGAGAGACAATTGAATTTGACTACATTATTCAAATTCGTTGAATGAAATTGCGCGCGTGTATAAAACAAAACGGGTATTTGAATAAATTTAGTTTAAAAGCGAAATAATTATCGTACGCGCGTACGAGACGAACAGAAACCCGTTTAAACCCCGTCGTCGCCAGGCGTACTATTATATATTATTGTTTTAATTTTTAACTCGACCAAATGGCAATAACTTTATGCCGTTTCGTGTAATGTAAACGGTGTAGGCTCGTCGATTCCCGCATATCCCGCCGTTCGCGGATAAGTATCCGTTTTGCGCGATCGGATAATATTATATCACGGCCGTCTGTGTACGCGCGCAGTTTTACTTTCGCCCTTCGTTAACACATCGCAATATTACGCATTTATTAAATACGTACACGTATATATCCATACTATACACGTAAGTACGGTTTACAATTCATATTTTACGTGACGAAGACGGCGGACTTACAGTGCGTGATAATGTATCGAGTCGGTTATCATTGCGCGTATTTGATAATCATAAGGGTCCGCGTACGGTTCAATGTTTATCGGCAAATTACGGCTAAAATCGAGTACGAGTCGCGGCCGCACAATAATTACGCGGCTCCGCGGTCCGGCCCGTAGCGTTGCCCGGGAAAGAGGTTTTTTTTTCGCCTTCTGAATTTCGTACGAGTCACAGATCGAACTGTTCGAGTAACACGTCGACAAACCCGCAGACGGTGTAGGATGGCTATAGTGTTTGGTGCAGTTTGCTGCTCCCACCGTTATATTTCCGGTCAGACATCTGCAGTTTTGACGCGGTACATGACAAATTATACAATTTAATATTGTTTAATTGTTAATATTAAAAAAAATGTTTCTCGGGCCCCGATTGAACCGGAATTCACCGGTCCCGACGTCGGAAATTACGCGCCGGGCCGCAACTCGCCTACAGCCGACATAATTTGCGGACTGTTTCGATGTTTGATTATAATATTCCAACCGAGATCAGGGTGTGAGAATCTACTCCAATTCAGATTTTAGGTGTTCGTATTTAGTTTTCAAACAAGTCAAATTGTTTTGTCCAGAGAAACTACTTTTAATATGACGAAATTTCTTGCGAAACTAAAATCCGACGATGGGTAAAAGGACAGGGTTCGTCACAAATCCAGATTCAAAAAAATATCGCTAAGTATCTACTCAGAATTTTCCACCCCTTAGGACTGGCGGCGGTAGCGGCAATGTTGGTGTGTTCGGGCTAGGCATAGGCAGGGGCTATTTTATTTCTAGTAATACGCAACAGATTTCGAAACCAAGTATATTAAAATGCTTTAAATACTATCACACAATTGTGTGTCATAAAATTCAAATCATGCATGCATATAAGATATAGTTTTACACCTATATTTCCGGGAGTGGTTTTTGATCAGGGCTGTGCATTGGTAGAGAAGTTTTTTCCAATTGATTGTAAAACTTAACTTTCATCATACAAAATATGAATCGTCCGAAAATACCAACTATTCAATTTTAAAATTTGTATTTTACATTTTGTGCTCATTAAATCATTTTACATTATTTGTACACATTTTTGCTCGAGTTATGTATATTTTTGATTTACACGACCAGTATGCGATTAAGTGTGTAAGTGCAAAATTTGATTTGTCACGGTTCAATAAGACGAACGTGGTTATAATGGCGACATATCCAGTGGATTTCCAGAGTAGATGTAGATGATTACTTTTTATTAATCATTTTTGCGGTGTTAGAAAAATGTATTTATAAATTAAATCCATTAAATGGAGGGGGACTATTAAATCCCTATATTCTTTATATATCTGTAAAGTGATTTTTTTCAAGGCTTTCTGACGTTTTCAAGTGTTTTTTTTTTTTTTTTTTTTTGTGTGTGGTTTTTAAGAACATATAAATCCGGTATCTGCGCCCATACATAATTAAACTAAAATGTTTTTTATAGCGGTCGCTATTTGAAAAACAAAACTTAAAGCTTAACGGATTCACCGTCCCCCGATAACGGGGACGGCGTAACGTTTTAAATATTATAATAATTCGATTTCGAAACCCGCAGCGTTTTGTTTTCTCGAAAACGGGTGTCCCCCGAAAAGCCCGACCGTTACGCGAAATTCGGAAGACCCTCCCCCCCCCCATCCCGCCACGCACGATACGGGCCAGAATGTACGCGGCGCATAAATTATTCGAGTGGCGTTTAATGAATTCGTGAGAAACCTCCCCTCGAGCTTTAATCAATATCCGCAGGGACCGCCGCGCCGCCGACGCCGCCGTCATAGACGACGCTGCGCGTACGGGTTAGCGGTGGGGGGGAGGGGGAGGGACCATATACGCGTACACGTGCATACGTACGTACGTCCGATAGTTTCGCTGCGTTATTTACCGCCGCCGCGTAGTGCGCGGTCCAAAATGGCCGGGCGAACGCCGGAATAATAACGATCAGAAATAATTCGCATCGGGACCCGCGTTGCGCGCAATATATTATCGTTGTGCGATAAATATTATCGGGAGCCGCGCGGTAAAAACAAATAACCGAGAAGTTACCGATAGTCGAAACGCCGAATAAAACGGTAATCCGAAAAACAAAAAAAAAAAACAAAAACAAAAAAAAATCTCCGGAAACAAATGCCCGAAACAAACCGTACTGTCAGTAATGATAATATGTAAAAAAAAATGTATACAGACGTACTTTAATTTTATTTGTAATGCGTATAAATTGTCACCTAATCGTTGTCATCCGTGTGGTTTTTTTAGGTCTACAGATTATACAAACGAAACAACGAACGTTCCAGAAAAATAATTCGTTGAATAGATCCAATCCGCTCTCAAGGGAAGCCCGCAAAACTTTAATTCTAGTGGCCGAATATCCCTTTGCCACAAGCTGTCTAATATATATGTACTCTAAAATCAATTGTTTAGAGCGATAAATTGTGGAATCGGGAAAATACATTAGATACATTTTTTTTTGACAGCAGTATCATCCAATAGTACACGCGAGCACACCATTGACTTATACGATATTAAATTGCTTTTTTAATTATTTATTATTATCATCGTAATTTTCGACAGCTGTGTGCACAGTGTTCACCATCGGATCGTTGATGATTAAACTATATTCACATTTTTATATACATACAACGGTTGACAGTACAGTTGATTCGGGGATTTTTTTCCGGGATTCAATAAAACGTCGTCCCGGGAATATTACACGTCGATACCGTACGGTGAAAAATCATATTTTTTGATTTCCCAAGAAAAAAAAGTAAAGAAAATAACATTATTATTATATTCGCCTTCCGACGTTCGACTATAAACGATCGCGCGATCCTTCGCGAATCCGAAAATCCGAACGGGCGCAGCTATTGCTGTTGGTGGGAAGTTGAGAAGGTAGGAGGTTATTGAATTTATATCTGAAAACGCCGATAAACCATTGCCGACTTATTTTTCGATTGGAGTGGATTTCTGGTAGACAATTTGTTCACAGACAGAAAATAATAATAAAAATACAGCATAGCGCAATCAATAAGTTTATCGCTTCGCTCCGCTTTTATTCCTTGGCAATTTCATATTAAATATTATGCGTTAAACGATTAATTGTTTATGGAAGTAAAAACTTTCGTACAGCCTATAGTCATAATATAGGGCACTTTATTCGGTTTAGATGCATGGCCTTATTTCCGACGCACACATTTTAATCGCGATTGGCCAGGACAAAACGGAAGAACCGATAGGAAATATCGATCGGCCAACGATTTGGTAAAATTGAACGCAGGCCCTGATGGAAATTTCGTCGGCGACGTTGAATTTCGGAATGGGATCCATCCGGCAGCAAAATATTACCGTACTGCCGAGTTTTGGGACGCCCTTACAATGTACGCTTATACAATATATTATCATGTTGAACGAACATCACGCTGGATTTTGCAAGACACCCTATATGATGTCCATCCAAACGCTCTAAACAATATATTCACGTTTATTTTGTTCAAGTACTACTCGGCATGAAGTCGATGAACAAAATAACAAAATAAATAATAAATGAAATAACAGTCTGAAATGACGGAAAACCCGATATGGGAGTACACTGCGATACTGTCGCGGCGATAAAGAAATTTAGAAGCCTCGGTGCCGAACTTTTCGACGATAACAACGCGAAAAGAATTACGAAGATAACTGCGGGAGGAACCGAAAAACTACCCCCTCGGCGGTACACCGACCAGACGGAATTCGCGTTCGGAAAAGACGCTACGCTGTTGCACATCGGAGTAAGATACAGGAGTGAACGCCTATTCAATATGACAATGTGGTTCGACAAAAGAAAAACGCTAAATACATTCTGAGATCGATAAAAGATCTCAAAAGTGTTTTTTCAAACAAATAAAACGTATACCCGTATGTGTATACAGACACTCGTTTAGGAACGTGAAAAGTAATTGAGATATCGAAACGGCATGTCGACGATTGAACTCGCGGATAAATAACGCGAAAACGCCGTGGCCCTATTACGGTCTATTTTGACCCGAAGGGGGAAGGGGGGAGGGAGCGTAGCATCCCCGGCTCCCCGCCCAATCCAGACTATCCGGAATATACGGCGGCGTGAATTGTCAGGACGGCGCGCGCCGGCCGCGAGCAGTGTACGTGAACGAGAAAACAAAAACGTGCGATTCGCCGTGAACGCGGGCCGCCGGACCGCGCGAAAAGGGCAATCGTCGGGTTACGCGATTCGCGGGGACGCGGTGAGGTGTAGGGGTGGGGNGGGGGGGGGGGGGGGGGGGGGGGGGGGGGGGGGTGCGGAGGCGAGGGCTGGTCCGCTCGCTCCGTCTCCGGCGAAAGCACCGGGGAATTCGTCCTGACGAACGTTATTGCAATCATTTTCGTTATCGCGGGGCCCCGACGACAGGCGGCGCGTGCGCGCGGATATCGGCCCCGGGGGGACCCCGGTTGACGGACGGCCCGCGCGCGCGATTTTAATAATATAACGCGCGCGTCGAGGGCGCGAAAAAACCAAACGCGACGCGATGCGAAGGGTTGAAAGTGTGCATACGTACCTCGGGCGGGGGCCGGGTGAACGATACTTCGGGACGGCGGCGAGGCGCTGAGGGGGCGCGACGACGCTTCCGCGGCGCTCGGCGGTACGCGTCGGACGATAGGTACTGTCGTAACGGCGTGTTGTCCGCGGGATCGTCGGGTTCCGCTCGATTGCCGCGTTTTACGGTAATAATATTCCGTCTTCGGCCGCGGTCCGGAATTTCCGTGCGACACGAAAATACGCGCGGCGGCGGCGGCGGCGGCGGACACTCGTCACGGTCGTGGTCGTCGTCGGCCGGCGGAAAAGAGACTCGCGGGAGCGCGCGCGCACACTTTTCAACGACGACGGCGGCGATGCAACTCGGCTCGGTGCATACACACACGATACTGCACAAAACGGCGCGGCGCGGGAGATTGGCCGGTTTGCATGTGCGGTTCTCGGCGACGGCGGCGGGGCCAGTTGTCGGACTGAAAGACGACGGCGGTCGGCCGGTGCGGCGGGAGACGGAGACGGCGGCGGCGGCGGCGGTGGCGAGCCGGGCCGGGTAATAGCGGCGAGAAACGACCGAAGAGCAGAAAAATAATAATAATAAAAAAAAAAAAACAACAAAACGACGGCGGCGGCGGCGGCGGCGGCGTACTACTCGTGTGCGGGTTTAAGTTTGCGTGCGTGTGCGTTCGCACACGTATACAATCATAATAATATACATCCGTATAAGAATAGAGTCGCCGCATTTGAATAACATTGTTATTCGTCGCGAGCCGCCGCGGTCGTGGAGGGGACGTCGCCGGGTGTTCCCCCGTAGTCCGCGTCGCCGCCGTCTTCGTCGCCGGTCGCCGCCGCAGCCCCTCGATCGGCCCCCTCCCCTCGCCGGCGTTTGTGTAATCGCGCGCGCCGACCGCGGCCGCGTCTCGGCGATAGGATATCTCGGCGCGAACGACGGCGTTCCGGCCGAAACCGACGGTTCGGCCACTACGGTGGGACGGGGGAACCCCGGTCGAATAGTGAGAAGTCGGGAAATCGTTTAAAGTACAACCCATTCGTAAACGTTCTTCAAGTGCCGGCGTACCCGCCTGCCCGTCTGCCTACCCGAGTGATCGCGTAGCCACTATGGGCCGTTTAGGGAAACGGGAGCGGTGGTAGTCGAGTAAACAAATCGGGAGCCCGTACGAGAAGGGCCCGCCGGAAAATCTCCGGTACGCCGGCGGGCCGGTGCGTGCCCGGGGCGCGCGTCGGGTTTAGCCCGGCTGAGATCTTTTTGCGCCGCGAAAAATGACCCGAAACAACCGGATAACACCCGGCGGCGAATAATTACACGTGACGTAGCAAAACACTTCGACGTCGTAGTGGTCGCGGTCGAGGGTCCGCGATAATAACGCGTGGGGTGCACGATGACGAGCCGGCGGCGGCGCGACCGGTTTGTGCGAAAGTTTAAAAAATGTATTCGGGAATTTTTTTCTCCCTCCCCATTCCCCCGGTAAATCGCGGGACGGATCCGTGAGAAAATCCGCGAGGAGGAGCCGGAAAAAAAAAAGTTCAGTCCGACCGGTTTTCGCGGTGCGCCGAAAAAAAATACCGTTCCGCCCTCACCTGCGCCCAGTTTTTTCGACCCCACCGCTCGTTTTACGGTACGGAGGGTTGCGCGCGGGAGGTCACGGTGCAGACGAACACCAAACTCGTTTATCGCCGCACAAGCACATTCAAATTTATTGGTTTTTTTTTTCTCGTTTTCGATTTTCCATAAGACATTTCACCGTACTAACCGACGAGAAATTTCTCGTTTTTGAGATGAACAAAAATCTGATAAATCCGTATACGGCGATAAGCAGCTGCGGGGCCGTCCTTAGAATTCGCGAGACCCGCGGGCGATATTCGAAATGTTTTCATAATTATTATTATTATTTTTTTTTTTTTCAAAAACGTGTGGCCCCGAAAAACAAGAAGCCCGAAGCCCGAGTCCTGTCCCCTCCCCCCCACTAACGACGGTCCTGGTGATACGCGAAACCATATAAAGGAACCGATTTTTTTTTCCTTCTCGAAAACAGAGGATAACAATACACGCGCAATACATATTTTGTTCGATTCGAAAATTGCATAATTTAATTTTTTTTCATTCGAACAAAACTGTATTCAAAAATGTATACGAGGCTAAAACCGACATAATGTTATTTTTTACCTGCGTCCAGCAAGATTTTTATTTCTACGCCCCCGCACGTATCTTTCGAAAACGCACCGTGCCCGTGAGAAACCGTAAAAAGGGGTGCCGCGAAAAAAAGTTCAACGTCACGACCGGTTTGAACTGGCGAAAAAACGCGCTACCCCGTGCATTCATCTGTGGGGGGGGATGTTCACCCCTGTTAATAGGACGAAATTTTTTTGGAATTCCATGGGAACGGCCACTGCAGAGCATGGGAATTCTACTCGACTTGAAAAGCAATTTTTTTTTTTTCGAAAACTCGCATAAGGGTCGTAAAGCTTTTGTCAGACTGGTCGGTTGAGGTGAACAATAAAATACCGACGGAAAATTTTTTATTCGCTACAATATTTTTTATTTCCACTTTCAGGTTTACGGTCCCAGGGTTTCCACTGCATGGTAAAAAGATAAAAGTTTCTTTTTTCTAGTTCTGCAACACGCCGTTAAAAACGGACGACGATATTGTCCTAGGGTTGAATTTATGCTCGGGGCGAAGGATTCCTGCAGCCGCGTCGTTGGTCAAATTGTTATTGCTATTGTTGTTTTTTTTTTTTTTTTCGTATAGCCATATAAATTGTTTGTTGGTATTTTCAACAAAAAAAAAAGTTATCTTTTATGTACGTGAACTGCTCCTCGAAAACTTCCGTTACGAACTTATACGTTACACACGGTCGTCGTAATTGATATGCAATCGTTTTTTATTTTCTGCGACCCAAAAAGACTATATAAATAATAAAGGATATATTACTCAAGAGGCTTTTCTACCCTCTTAAATTTAGGCCTTTAACACGGGTGATGATTTTTTTACTACAACAAAATAACGTTACGATACGCTATTGTTGCGCAGATGATATTAAATTATTATTGTTATTTCCAACGACTATTTCGATTATTTGTCACATGCGATCCCGCACACAGTATTTAGTTACCAGTGACAACCATTCAATTTTAATAAAGTCTTTATAGTTTGACCGTATTGTTACCATAGAGTAATTATCACTCTATACATAATAATGTATACATTATCTGCAGGAAAGCGATGACAAAAAATAGAATGGTAAAATATTATCATCAGGGTACAATATTTATATAATTTTTATTTTCTACTGCAACATGTAGGATGTAGGTATTGCTATCAAAATTTATTTGAAATTTTAATATCTGTAGCTGAAAAGTGGTATTCAAAATGCTGATAAGGTGGAACTTTTGGGGGTGTAGGGGGGTGAAGTCCCCCAACGGGTCTGTGTTAAGTGATTGTACGTATTGGAACGCAGTTTTTAAATCGTTGGATTGAGCTCTTCTACTTAATTTTTCCCAATTCGAGCACTGCATTTTAGGCAATTAGTATTGCGAAAATAATTATTAGTTTTTCTGGAATGTATTTATTGTTTTCGAAAAGAAAACACTTCTTAGATTAATAAAAATACTCCGATTCATTAATGCTATGCGCTCCTAAAGATGTAGACTATTCGCCCAAAGGCACTCTGATTAAACATAATTTTTTGGTCTTCAGCTGTTTTTTTAAAAGACTAACAACAAATAACGAAACATCGATCGATTTTATTGTTTTATTGTTGATTTCTGAGTTACCGAGTCGGCTACTGGGCTACAAGAGAAAGAAACAATGTTTATAATATAATATCAGTTTACCAAACTCTATTCTCAGATTCGTTTTTTGATTGCAATAATTTAACGTTGCTTTCAGTATAACTTAACCTAAAATGTCCTATGTGACCAACACTTCCCGAATTCCCTACGGTGCGAAGTACTTACATATCTTGTTTTATATCTCTAATCTATAAGTCCGTATACTGGAGGCAACTACTTGTTTAAAAATAAATAATACAAAAATTATATCTTCGGTGATTTGTAACAGTCGGTAACATGCATACGGTATTTGCCTAAATTAAAAAACGAACATTTTTGAGGATTTTCGGTTAACATTTTTATAAACCGTACATATATTATACACTTTTGATTTTTTTACAAAAAAACCCTTACGGTGTGTAGTAATATCGATACCTAATGGTATATTTTGTTCAGAACGTTAATACTGTTTGATGGGACTCTCTTTGCTGAAATATTCTATATTAACTACAACGGAAAGGCGAGCAGCCTCAACAAAACTACAATACAGAATGCAATGATGTAGATAACATTCAACAAAGTCATCAGATAATTACGATAAAGGTAACGTTGCAACACCGTTGAACCCAGTGAGTTCGCTTCAGGTCTGTTTGATTAATAATTATGTGATGCGACATCAAATCGATGCATACATTAAACAAGACCTCGCATAATTAACTTAAAAAAAACTATGAATTTAACGTAGCGTAACAATATTGTTAATTTTACTGTTTTATCTTAATCTTCATTTTCAAAATGTACAGAGAAGTTGGGAAAAAATTCAAGTGGAATTAGAGTGTTACAAAAATATCTATCACATTTGACATTTAATTTGTGTAAATCAATTTTTTATTTAAAATCAAAATACTAACTAAAAGGGGTAATTTATATTTTCTACGGGATTTTCCGTTTCCCATTCTTTTGCCATTGATAACATATAGGTACGAGTGTTTATAGGATTATTGCGTTCTCTAACAGCACTACAGACGGCCCCGGAAACTTCCGGTTGGGAAGCATTTTAAACTGCCCGGGTATGGCCTGTATTATACTTGATTGATATTTGACCAATGTTATCTGTTTCAAACCAGAAATAGCTAGACAATATTTGCAACCGGTGACCATTCTTGAAGTCGATGATATGACAGTAATATTTCTAGTAGAAAAGTTTAGGCGGAAAAAAAATATAAAAAATAAAAAAAAAAGCAGCACTAAAAACCCAATACATTCCTTAATGTATGTATCGATAAATTATTGCAAACAAAGAAACGATTCTGAGTAGATTAATGTTAATATTGTTTTTCCAATATTTCAAAGGTAACCCTGCAGAATCAACGAAAATTAAGAAACAAAAAAAAATCCGTTAGGGTTGAACTATTGAGCAATTCCTATCACCGAGCAGAAATCCAACGTCTTTTGAAATACTGGGGAAAAAATCGGAATGTTTACCTAATTAAAAAATTGTTTTTAGTAAAAAATATAAAAACAAAATGTTTGGAAAAAGTAACGAGAACGCTGAAAAGTGTATCAAATAAAATCCCGTCATGCGAAAAATTATTTTTGCGTACGGTATGACATTCAGAGCTTTTTTACTGACCATAAAAGTGTTTCCCGAAGGGAAAAATCACATATTTTTAAAACTAATACCTTCATTTCCTTTATTATCAAAATCTTAAATATTGGTTAACGTGTATCATTAAAACCTTTATATTAATAATATTAATAATTCGTAAATTTATGGTGAAAAAACGTAAGTATGATTATATATACACAATGTATCAATTCGATTGATACTCCGTGCGTTTTAATATTGGCATTTATATTCGCTTTATTTCGGAATAACGAAACATGTGTTCCGTCTTGGTCGTTAATTTACTATTATTGTACAGAAGTGTCATAGCTACGCGACAGTTTTGCAATATTTTCTAGGGTTCGCCGAAAATGAATACCCAGAAATCGTACATGTACCATAATATCCCATACTGATAAAATATTATAAAAAAATATATTCACAGCACGAATGAGTCACATTTCGTAATACTGACTTACGGATTACAAATGTGATTTGTGCTGCATTATATGGTATTATAATATAATATATGTATGGTTTTTTCTAGGAAAACATATTAAAATAAAAAAAAAAACTAGACAAGAAAGATCATAACGAATAAAATCTAAACTATATTAAAAAAAAATAGATATATGGTATTATCGGGAAAAGAAACCGGCTTTAGCTATTTTCACACATCTAACGAATGCCACCCACAAAGAAAAAAATTGTCAGCAATACGTATATTATTATTATTATACGAGCAGTGAGAGAGACTGGAAACGTGGTCTTATCAGTCGAAATTATTTTATTTCGAATTTGCTACGTCGACGGGAAAACGGTCGGTTCATTAAAAAAACTCTAAGATTACTTACTTACTTACTTACTATATTCTTATACTATTATCTAATAATACTGTATTGATTTAAAATACTAAGGGACGTATATAGTGATAAACAATTTTTTTTATAACGATTGAGTTTATAATCAATGGGAGTTCATAACATTCCAAACGAGTATAACACTATTAGGTTACTGTACTAGGGATTTTACTAAGAGTCATTTCTTTCAAATACCTTAATGTGTGATAAGAAATAAATGCTATATAACTTATAAAATATCTGTGTAGCTAATAGCGACTTTATCAAAAACGCGTCAGGAGAAATTGTATATCTTAAAATTAACATCATTGTCTATAGTTAAGTTCTTATCTTTTTGCAAATTCTAATTAATTTTTAATTTTTTATTGATTCTGTAATTATCAAATACTGACATACTGTCGAGTGTAGTTTGTAGAACATATTAATATAGTATTTGATATTATTGAGTTGTTTTAATAATTATGTTTAGTTCATAGGTTTAGTTTATAGTATTTCTAACATAATTTATTTTATGAGTTTGACCATGATTAATAATATTATATATTAATAATTGTACGTGATTAGAGAACAATAATATTATTGGACGTGATACACTTGCCTTACTATGAATGTATATACCTACTACTGAGTGGATGCGATTTTATATTTTCGTTTTTTCAGGGTCGGTCACATTGATAAAATTAAAACATGTGTTATCAGTTAGAAGATTTAGACGATTCGGAAGAACTGGCCTACGGCCATTATACTATACGGTTATCTACGAGCAATAAAATATTGAAGACTTAAGATAATTACAACTTTAATTAGCTGTATACATAAATAAAATTGAAGTGTCTGTCAGTCCGAGCTTATCTCTGAAACGATAGAACCGATGGGACTCTCGCGGCCAGAGAGAATATTTGCCGGGACATAATATTATAGGATATTTTTTATTCCGCGATTCGAACCCTAACAGGAGTGAATGCAGGGATGTATTTCAAATTTTTTTGGCCCAGGTTTAATCATTTTTTGCCGCCCCCATCTCTGCAATATCAGTCTATTGCAGCATTAATTAATAAAATATAGGTTTACAATTTATAAAAAAATATAATAACATTTAACATGAACAATATCCTTTAATAAAAAAAAAAAAAAAAACAAATACTCATAATAAAAATACCCGAAATATTTGATTTATAATTTTGACAACATTAAAATTTACAAAAATTGAACAATAAAATCAATTATGTACTTAAAAATTTTTACGACGAGATTTTTTTACAAACAATTCATTAATTATATCCTCATAATCAATATGTCTGCCAAATAGCAAAACTGTTAAAATGACCCTCTGTTAATCTCAACGCAAATAATTTATAATTCTTTTTAATGCTGAAAAGGACTTTTCAGCAGAACAGTCTGTGGTTGAAAATATTACAAAAATCCTTGGAACTATGCCAATTCAAGAAAATTTATGTTATATATATTATATTATTTACATAATTTATATAAATTTCCTATACCAACTTACTCATTTTCAATACTGTACGTGGAATTTGTTGTATACTTAAAAGGTAGTTACGAAAATTTTGATATTCATTAGAAAAACTTTCATCTAAATCATTGTTACATATTTTACAAAGTTCATTTGCACTCACATCCAATTCAGAGGATGAAAGGGTTATAAACTTCAGTAAAAATGAGAATTATTTATTTTTATCATCATATGACTTTTTTCTTTTTTCCAATTCGGCATCGAGTTTATCTGAAATGACGAAATAGATATTCACGTTTAATGATTCGCGGCTATCAAAATGTATCCCTTCTCCAGGACTTTCTAATTTTCTATTTTTTCTTCGCATATTAGTCAAATAAATTAAGCCCGACTTCTCTATAGTTAAATTTTCATAATATATATCAAACATATTATGTCTCATTTCTTCAACATACTGGTGTAATGAATTACGTAAACAAATTGCAGATTCAATATTAATTTCTAATTTCTATTAATTTCTTCTGTTTGAAGTTTTTTATTTGTATCATTAAAGCGTTCCAAGACTTTGTTCCAAAACTGATCTATTGTGTGGTACAAAAATTAATTATTTTTTTTTTCACGAAATTTCACCATTTAAAAGTGGTTGATACAGAGTTTTATTGGAATGAACATTTAATTTTTAGATTCGGATCGTAGCAAAATAATGTTTTTATTATTTTTAGTTTTGTCATGTTGTGATTCAGTTGAAAATATTCGTAGAGAATATTAATGAAATGTTGACATATAGCCTATATATTGTTGCCTTTTCTAGACGCAATAAAATTAGACGTTATTTTAGCAAATTATCATAATAATTTCCGGCATACATAATAAGTCAGATATATGACGCGAATTAATGTTTTCAATGTGTTTTTCATTTTTCCCTTTAATAATTTATAATTATTTTATGGATTCGAAACCATCATTTAAATAAAATAACACGGTTTATCCGCGTATTATTTTAAATATAGTAAACTAATAACCGAAATAAAATAATTACGAAACATTCGAACGGCCGAAATTAAAATCATTTTTGCAACACTAACAAACAAATGGAATTAAAATTAAAATTAAATTTTAACACTTTGCACAGTGTTAAACTCACGAATAAATCACAACATTTTTTACAATACCCGCAATACTCATTTGTTAAGTTAATTAACGGCACTGAACTATTAACTAAACTATAGGCTTTCTTATTTGTATACGTGATGGTTAAATAAATCAGGAAACTATAATTTCTTTTCGCTTCTCTATACACGTTGTTAATCCGTATCGGAATTGCAAACTTAATGGACTGCAATAGGCTTGAGTTATAAGCGTTCGATTGTAATGACTCATCAACGGGAACACAGAAAACGGGAACATACCTTCAGCGATTTAAATAAACGCGATTTTTCTAAATTTAAAACGTATATTATTGTGTTTTTAACGCCTACCAATTCCCAATGAAATTGCATAGTCAAATATTATATTAATCGTTTCGTGTAGTATAGTATGTTTCGTTTTGTTTTTTTTGATTTTTATCTTAACCGTTGCGGCTCTTTGAAAATCGTCGTTTCGCAAATTGTTTTTTTTTTTTTTTTTTAAACGGCTCGTTTACACGGAAAGGTTGCCGACCCTGGCCCGCGTCCGGGCACGCACAATACTGATAACAAAACAGCAATAACGGTGTGCGGATATTATTGTATTGTAATTTGTATGCACCGCGGCGGTGCTCGCCGAACTCCGCGGTCCCGCGGCCCATAAATCTCGTTAGTTACGGCCGAGGAGTCGCGACAATCGTAACCCGTACCCCGCACGCACCCGTGTTATGATAACGCGTATAGAATATTATTGTTGTACAATAACGGGGGTTTCTTTATTTATCTTTTCTTCTTTCCCCCCCCTCCCTCCGCCGTTCTTTCCGTCGCCGCGCGCGTTTCTCGCGGGCTATCGCGACATTTCGATCGCTTATCACGCGCGATAATAGGTGTTTAACGATATTTATACACCTACCGGCGGGCGGCCCGCGACGGGACGTATTGTCCTCGCGCGGGCGTTACTATCGCCGCGCTCGCGTCTAATGTTTTATACGGTTTTAACGATATTGCGTTACACGCCGCGGGCCCGCGAAGGTGCCGGACGGGGGCCGCGGTGTCATTGCTGGCGCGCGCGCGCACTCGGCTATTGGCGCGGGCGCTTTTGTGCGCGCCGTACGACGACGGGGACGACGTCGGCCGGCCGGCCGGCCCGGCCCGGACTGCGGCCCGACACCCGGCCAGTCCGCACACCACCTCCACCCACCCCCTGCCGTCACTCCGCGGCGCGGCTCGGCCCGACCGGCCCCGTCAAAGGCGGACGGTGGCGACGGGCGGCACACTCGGATAACACTCGCCTCCCGTTTGACCCGCGCTCTTCAGCAAATCGCCCGCCGTGAACTACGGAACGCGAGCGATAGGGTGGAGGGGGGCGACAAAAAAAAAAAAAAAGAGCCACTCGAAAATCGACTCCCGGATTTCGGAAAACATTAGGCGCGGTTGTATCGGGTTTTTTTTTTATTTTTATTTTTTCAGAACGGTCGGTTTTACATTGACGTTTGTCGTCCACCGGAAATCTTGCTCAAGTTTTCAAGCAGTTCGTATTACGTTTGCGAAAGGAAATTTTATCGGTGTGTTAGGTACTTTAGGCGGGTCTTTTGTCGAACAGCGTTCATAATAATAGAGAAATACCGGGAAAAAAACGTAGAATGAACGGGGAATTTTACGAACGCGTATAAAAGAAACTTCGCTCCGAATCGTTTTTCGTTCATCGTCGCGCACAGGTATAAATTTAATTTCTCTCCGTATCCAATCTTATTTCTCACCAACAACAGTGGACCACCCGACGTGCGAAATATGGGCCGTCTTCTTTTTTCTTTTTGTTTCAGACCGATATTTTCCGAGAACAGTGTCTATATTATAACTAAATTACTGGAACACGAAAAAAGTAGGTATCGAACAAAAACACGTTTCCAGGGATACAGGATCCACGGGTATACAGGGATAAAACCAGAAAAGTTACTTTTTTTTTTTTTTTACAAAAATCCGACTTTGGTATCGAACAATTTGTATTGACGTACGGTGACTTTTATGGAATCGAACCGGCGAAAAAACCGGATTAATTGAGAAAGCAATGGGCACCAGACGTTTAGGCCTACAGGAAAGATTACGGGTAATTCGTCGATTTTTCCCCGTACCCTTCAAATATATCGGTGAATAAGACCCAGGATTTTCGATTTAAATTTTAAATATTGCGTGTCGATATAATGCCGGTAATTACGAATCGGATTATCAGATATTGGTAAAAAGCGGTGTCGGCCCATCTCTATAGAAAATACATATTATACGTATCTGTATCGTCTCCCACGTTTTTGCGGCTATGGGTAATCGATGTCTACTCAAATCGTCTCCTGGTATAGAATAATTCGTTAAAAATCGATTTTCAGCAATTATTACTGTATATATAACACGCTGAATATCAGGAGGGGGAGAATTTATCGATTTGATTGAAAGGAAAATGCTCCGCGCCGTATTTTTCGATCAGACGGTTAAAAACGGGAAACTATGCGAAGAACAAACGACGAGGGAATCTGTTTCGAAAACTTAACACCAAAGCGTCTATCGGCAGACGGCCCATTTACATAGGGATAAAGGTTATCGGCGTGCAGGCAATGTTAGTTAAAATGAACGGAAGAAAACCCAGTGGCCGTCCCAGGCAAACATTTCATACATTAATAGATCAATAAAACGATCGAATAAAGTATTAAAATTAAAAATACATTAATTACCTATTTTTACTACGGGTCTAATTACTAATGTTTCAATAGGCGGCGTAATTATGTAATGTTACCAAGTCTTGGTAATATCATTTGAAAATATTTCTTACAGCTTAAAATGGATCGGACAAAAATTAGAGACCTATATTTTAGACTAATAAGCGGTAGAAAACTATAGACATACTTCCCGATGTCCAGTTTTAATTTATAAAGTAGGTGTGTGTGTGTGATTTTGTAGACACGTTTTCTATGTTGTTTCGGTAGTCGGTTTTTCGATTTTCAGTCGCGTATCGGTTTTGAAGACTTCCAAAATTTAGATGTTATTTTCGAAAATTCCGCGAAACAACTACATTGCGTATTTGTATTTATTCCGGACACGCCGAATTCAATTTTCAACGCATGAACATCGATATCCTAATTCCAATCAATCCAGACGATATTGTATGTCCATAAAACTAATTGTTGACACGGCTGTCACTATCAACTGAACTCCGCTCAGAATCGTTGCTTCATTAGCAATGGTTTATCGTTGCTTACACGTGTACATTAAAATTACCCGTAACAGTGGTCGCACCCGTCCCCATTATCACGGGACGTGTTTTTCGTTTGATTTTTACAATCCAACAGAATGTATAACGCGTAATCGTATTGAATACGGCGGGTTCCAAACGAACATACTGTTTCTTAATGCCTATCCGCGCACAAACCAAAACAATTTGTATAATTTTTTCCCCCGCGATATTTGTTTAAAAAAACAAAAAGCCGTGTAACGCGCGCGCGTTCTTAGACGTTTCGTGTTGTTGCGATAATTGTAATGTTATTATGTGGAGCGATGATTTTTTTTTTTTTTTATCAATTTCCTCGCCGTTTTGACACAATAACATAAACCTCATACATCCATCCGTACCTGCCCGTAGATAATACGATAAAACAGCGCGTTTTTTTTTTTTTTTTTTTCCCGCGACGTTATACGGAAAATCGATTACGTCCGGACGGCCGTCATTGCGAAGCGGGCCGGCCTCGCGCGCGAATTACGCGTACGCGGTTTTATTTATCGCCGTTGCAATGATAAATCCGAATATTCCGAAAATTAATCAAACGTTATCGGATGTGCGGCGGCCGGGGCGTTTCGGATATTTATAATAATAACGTGACGCGCGCGCGTACCTCCGCCGCCGCCGCCGCCGCCGTTACGATTTATCTGCCAATTTCACATTTCTATATAATATCATTATTATCATCATCGCCGTCACCGCCATCGTCATCGCCGTCATCGGGCGCCGCTCACTTCGCCGTTTCGTGCTCGCGCGAAATACGCCGCGCGTATTCGTTTTACACACGCACACACGCGTGCGCGCGCGCGCGCGTTTATACAAAGGTAATGCGCGCGCACGCGGCGACAGTCTCGCGTATTCGGCTGCGGTGTATTGCGCCGTAATAATCTATTGTTGTATTTATCATTAAAGTTTGATTTAGTGCAGTTTCCGCCCGGCGCGGCGCGGCCGCTCGACCGGCGTACGCGCGAGTTCCGCGTCCAACGCGGCGGCTTCGCTCGCGGACAACGTGAAATTGCGTTACGCGCGGGCGAGTGCGACGGGAAAACGCGGGTGCCGCGTCGGTCGGTGCCGCCGGTGACAACGCCGCCGTACTTTTGTCCCGCACGGGGTGGGGGGAGGGGAATGGGTGTGTGTGTGGGGGGGGTGGTTACCCCGAAACGCGAAACGGCGGCGATTCCCGGCGACCCGGCGTACGCACGCGGGTGCGCGGAACGGTCGCGTTTTCGAAACGTAACGGTTTTTGGACACCGAGTGGAGCGAAGAAGCTCGCGACGGTTTTACAATGACGTTTATTTATTTGTTTTTTGTTTTTTTTTTTTTTTATCCGTTGTAGCGACTTTTCTACCGGCAGTTTTTCACTCACTTGGTCGAGAGGTTCACTTTTCGATCTTCTCCGGAGTTTTCCAAATAAATTGGAAAAAACCAGGTGAAAACGCGGGAAAACTGAGAGAACGGAGAGACAGGTGGGGAATAGTTACAATATTATTCAAATGTTACTAAAGAAAATGCGTTTAATGCGTATGCAATTACTTTACCATAATATGGCATATATATATATTGTTAACAAAACAACACTGTATCAGCTGAACTCCGCTCAAAATTGTTTTCTCGTTAGCAATGGGTGTTCGTTACTTACGTAGATATACACATTTAATTCCCGTCTGCATCATTACTTTCCGACTGGCCATCTACGCCAGTGACTACACTCGTTCCTAATATCCTAGACAGCTTATTTTTTTCAAGATAAAAAGTTCGGATTAAATTTAACGTTTAACTTCGAAATGCGTAGCGGACGCAACGCAATAATGTCATACTACACGTTATTATATCTACGGCTATACCCGCGTGTATCAACCCGACGCTTGTATGGTTATCAGTTGACTTTCCTGGCCTTTCCCTCATTACTTTCGGCCAATTCGGTTTTTTCGCCGGTCCGGTCGTACAAAAGGTACGCAATACATCAAAACAAACGGTTTGATACCGATATCGCCATTTTGGAAAAAAAAGCGACTTTTCTGGTTTTTTTTCCTGTAACCTTCATATACACACAGCTCATACCTATATCAGGGCCCTCGGAGCAGCAGGGCGTAAAAATCGAAAATCGATACCCCTGGACGTTAAATGGTTTAACACGGCACTGATGCCAAATATCTGAAAATAACACGAGTCGTGTCTTTAATATTGATGGATATAAGCGAGTGGATTGAGCGTCAAATTTTGTGTAAAAAGCTGAAAAATGTATTGAATTCTTGAGTTCTCAATTACTATTCTATCCGGGCCGA